GCCCCTGCAGGTCGCCCGGGAGCGAGCGCCGGCGCGGCGGGAGCGAGCGCGGGAGACGCGGCGCGGGGGTCGGAAGTTCGCCCGGGCCGCCGCCTCCGGCTCCTTACCGGCTCCACTTTCTTGGAAAGCGCGGATCGGAGATCGGTCGCGTCCCCGGTGCCGGCCTCGCCCGAGGGGCGCGCAGCTCGCCGCGCAGCGCCCGCTTTTGTTGGAACCGGGCGCCCGGTGTGGGTGGCGGTGACCGCCCCCGGCCCCGCTCCGCCGGCTAGTGGGGAAGGGAGCGGGACACCTTCGCCGGTGCTGCAATTATCCTGCGAAGTGTGGAGAAAACACCTGGTGTCCGCTTTTTAACCCTTTCAAGTTCTTATTCGGATTAAGCAGGCAAGCTTGCTTTCCCGACTGCGATACAGGCAAGCTCGCTCTTCCTTCGCGACCAAGTTATGTCCTGTGCAGAATCTGGCCCACATCTGTGACGACGCTGCGTGCTTGTGAGGCTGCTAACTGATCTGCTTTTGCAAAGGGGGATGTGATGGTAGGATCAGCATTTGTGCAGTAGGAAGAGCGCGACTGCCATCTTCTTCATTTCCTCTGTTGCTGCGCAGGGTATTTATTTACACCCGAAGCCCGACCTACGCGCAGAGCAGTTTCTGGAGCCATACGTGTGCCGACTGCTGCGGCAGAACGCTGAGCTGCCCGCCGGAGGTCTTCGACGAGAATGCCCTGTTGATCTCCCCGCTGGCACCGCGGCGGTGATGGTGCTGTCTGTCCTGTCACCAGTTGAGCAGAGAGGTGGCAGTGCTTGGGAGCACAGTAATGTGTAAAGGCTTACCTGGCGATAGGTAAGTAGTGTCGTCTTTACATTTATTTTCAATCTGTATGGCTTTGTTTTTCCTGGTTTGAAAATGTCTTAATTCCTATCTTTTTAAGTCATGGTGTGTTTTAAGTCTGTGCCTTAATTTTAGAATTGCGAATTGAGTTGGATTATTGTTTTGCTTAAAACTGACCGGCTGCAGCTTATTCCTAATTCCTAGTGTGGGCTGATTGGGTCCAGTTTAGGAAGCTAGCCCTGCAGGTAAGCTGAGATAGCGGTCCTGAAGGCTGTGCTGGTTCTGCTGCTGTTCCTAGGAGACTCTGGTACTTTTTAGGGCCTAATTTTCCACGGACAGTCCCAGAAGTGAGAGAGCTGGGGTGCGCCTCCCATCCCCAGAGTACCCCCTTCCCTGGTCCAGTAGTCCAGTTCCTATTGGAAGATCCAGGTTCCCACAGCCGTTATGTAACCCGGCGGCGTTGGGAGGTCACAAAAGACAGGTCTGTCTGTTGTACAGAGCAGAAGTGATTCTTACTTGTGCTTTACAGTCTTGAGGTAGCGTTTACAGTCTACCTGGTAAAAAAAAATGAAATTACTTATTTGCCATGTGTCAGTCACCAAAAGGTTATGTTTGTAATTTTGGTCAGTCTACGCTCATTTTACTTCCCCACCCCAGCTGACTTGCAGTGATGTCACTGTCGTTTCTACATAACTGAGCTGAAGGGAGAGGTTGTGCCTTCCGTAACCCTGGGGCCTGGGGAACCAGAACCGGAGTCGCAGAAGGCCCGATGTGTTTCAGTAGGTGGCGCTGTGGGGGACAGGGGAGACCCAGCTCAGGTACATAAGTGGAATTGAGGGGTCAATTGAGCAGTTACTGCTTGCCCTTGCCTGAGACGTACGCTTACCGCCTGGCACCATGTTGCATTTCTGTTAGTGTATGCTTGGAGTGCCTGCCGATTACTGTTATCACAGGAGCGTGAGTGTTCTGCCCCGGCTCCATTTTCCTTTTTGGTTTTTCTTTCTTTTTTTTTTTTTTTTTTTTTTTTTGCCTTCCCATTGGAAAACGTTTGTCCTCCTGCCTAATGTCTAACCCCCATTTTGCTCCTTTACACGTTGGGTTTTTTTCACACAAGTGAGGCAAGGCTGTGTTTAAACTTGCGTGCCTGGTTTACCTTACACTTATGGCCTCACGGGTGCCACCACTTACCTAAACATACCATCAGTCTACCCCTGTGTGGCGCGGGGTTGTACTCCACTGTCAGCAACGCCCACGTCCTCGTGCGTTCATCTGTCCGTAGGCTCAGGAGCTGTGCAGGGTGGAGCTGTTACGCGGGTATGCGGACCACTGGGGCGTGATGGCTTCGGCCCCTTAGGGAGGACGCCTGAAAGGGGGTAGCTGGGTGAATGGAACCTCTAGTTTTAGTTTTTGGGGAGATCATGCATGTACCAACCCACACTCCACCAGCAGTGGAGGAGGGTGCCTTTGCCCCATAGTCTCATAAATGTTTCTTCCTGGTTAGTTTCTTCTCAATGGTGGCCGATCTTCCAGGAGTGAGAAGTCTCAGTGTGGTTTTAGTTTGTACTTCTCAATTGACCAGTAAAGCTGATTATTTTTTCATATATTTTTTAGCCATTTGTACTTTGAGAATTGTCTGTTCACTATCTGAGCTCATTTTTGATTGGTCTTTTATTTTGTGGGTCTGAATTCTTTTGCATTCTTTATGTATTCTAGGTACTGGTCTTCTGTCTGAGGGGTAGCAGGCAGCCTGTTTCACCCCTTCTGTTGGCTATCTCTTCACTCTGCTGTTTCTCAGAGTCTTCTCTTCACATTTCTGCTTTTTAAGCATTTACCACCTGGCACTTGTGTCTGAAAGCCGCTGCATTCCCGATGTTAGACATGCATTGCGGGCAGAAGCATTTCCAGGCCTCTGTGTCTTTGACTTCTTTCCCCACGCTAGAGTCGGGGTCGGCCTGAGCCCAGAGGGTCTCCGGCCAACTTGGACACTGTTTTTCTCCCTGCAGTATGTACCTAGCTCTTGGCAGAGAGAAAGAAATGGCGAGAAATCTACTTACATCTCTAACTCATGTAAGGAAATGACTTTTTATGGTCAGTTCACTTTTTAAAGATCTTTTAACCAGTTTTCTGGCATTGGTCTGATACGGTGAGAATTGATACGCAGGACAAAGACAACAGCTTTGCAAGGTTATAACTCATCCAAGAAAAGTGTGCTCACTCTGCCGTGCAGGTGCCGAAGCTAGGAAGTGTGTGAGCGTACCCAGGGGACGGGTGGTCCACATCACACCGAGCTACTCCTAGGGCCGGCCGTGGGCCCACCCTTCCCTGGGCAACTGGTGGCGCATGCTCTTTGTCCCGCCAGGACCCAGTAGTTGGTTCCACCTGCCTCTTTCAGGTGGTGTGAAGTAACTGCTGGGATCAGGCGGCTAAGTAGCAGGGCCGTCTGCCTGTGGGGCCTCTGGGCTTTCCTGGAGCCCTGGGGTGCCGCTTCTCCTGTGCCTCTGGGTGCTGTAGGTGTCTGGGTTTGGTAACAGCAGGCCTCCATAAACTAGTGATGGGCTTAGAATTGTGGTAACACTTTGGTCAGTGAAGATACGTTGTTACAGATTACTTGCTTTAGGACAGTTGAGGAAGAGGGAGGTGGCCTGACTTCTTTGAACTGTGTGAAGGCTACTAAAAAGGGCTCCGAAGTTGAAGTACCACAGAGCCTGGGCGCCGCTTCTGTCTGTTCCTCAGGCAAGCTGAGCACAGCACGGCCTCACTGTTGCCCCTTGCGTTTAGGGAGGCTGACTTATCATGGTTGTTTAAGGTTGGCGGCAGCCGCGATTATGACTGTCAGCGAGCCCGGCGCAGGTGCCCTTCCGGGTGGTCGCCGTTCATGCAGCTTGTTCTGCACTCTTGGTGGAGCTGTTGGCTTTCTGTGCGTGGTTCATTGGGAAGCCCCGTGTAGATTGCTTGGGATGTGTAAGCTGCAGGTGATGGGTGAGGAAGATCTAGGAGTAGGAGCTGTGAGTGCAGCTTGTCCTTGCTGGCGAGTGTCACTGGCCAAGCCAGGAGCTCCCAACGAGCAGGCGATAGGCCAGGCTTCACCACCACTCCAGGTTACTTTCTCAACCAGTTTTGAGAGAACTTGGAAAATTTCTGACTGCTCTTTTTTATTATCAAATTAACAAACTTAAATTATGCACATAATTTTGACACCTTAGGGTTTTTCCTCCTTATGAGAAGGGATGAAGTGGGGTGTTTTAAAAAATATTTATTTATTTATTTATTTGTTTAGTTGGTACAGGGCCTCACTGCACAGCTCAGACTTGTAGTGGTCCTACTGTTTCAGCCTCCCCGGTGCTGGGATTACAGATGTGCACCAACATGCCTGGTTTTGGTGGCTAGCATAGTTTCAGGGCTGGCCTGGGGTTCTGAAGCCAGCATGGAATGTGGTACCAGGGATCGAACTCAGGTCCTTGTGCTTGCCAGGCACTCAGACTGCCAAGCTATCTCCACAGCTCCCGAAGTGGGTTTTAATGTTACGGTATTTAAAGAGAGAAATATATATATATATATATATATATATATAAACCTTGGCATTCAGACATTGCCTAGGGTTTTTTTTTTTAATCTTAGTAGATGAAATTTCTTTTTCCAGCCTATTTGGAGGTAAAAATAATGAACTTGTAGATTGACTAATTTCAAGTTGGCATGGCATCTGGGGTTTAAAATTGTGAGCACAAGTTCAGAGGTGAATGCCTGAGGAAGAGGAAGCGGCGTGTCACGTGGCACACAGATTTCTGGAAGAATTGTGAGAACAATTCCGTGGTTTCTTTCACGCACCACGCCGAGATCAGTTGGCTTACAGCTGTGCAGCTTGGATACGTCCTTTAAAAACGGAATTCAGACGTGTGTGGGAAAATTTTGAGCGCATGTGTCGTAGTCCGAAGCATTTTTTCTCATAGCCTCACAAAAACTTAGCTTTATCTTCTCAGTTTTTTGCAGGAGGAATCAAAGATATGCTTCAAGATGACTTTTCTTGCTTGTGGTTTTTGGTCTTGTAACAGGAATTTAACAAAATGTGATTATGTAAAAGAATGTAGCTTAGCAATTTTTTCTGTTATGACTTATGCTAAGAAGGTATTTGTAGAGATCGTGTTGTGTGCCAGGTGTCTCACAGGAGCAGCGGCCAGGAAAGATATGGCCCCTACTTCTTTCAAGCTTTCTAGTTTAAGGTGGCTAAACAGATAATGAATTAAGTCAACAAAATGCTAGTTTAAAGCAGTGATAGATACAGTCCTATTGGGGGTGACTTTCCCATCTGAGTGGCGAGGAGGGCCTCATGGAAGACTTCCAGAACTGAGAATAAAATAAAAAGAGAGCAGTGGTGAGGCTCTGTGGCATAGAGGGTGGCCCGTGCGAAGGCCCGTGGCCGACGCAAGCTGGCTTTGTGAGACCTGAGACAGTCTCGGGGGCAGTGTTAGGAGGACTTCACAAACCACAGGTGGAAGACGGTTCTTTTATTTTGCACGAAGTGGGAGCTACCAGAAGATACGTGACCCTAGGAGGATCGGGCTGGGGTCTGCAGCTTTGCACACTCGCTTGGCTTCAGCCCTGTGGAGAGCTGATCGCTGGGGAAACGGGGAGCCTGGAGCCGCTCACAAAGCTGCTGCGGCGACCAGTGCCACTTGGAGTGGAAGAAAGCAGGGAGACAGAGGGCTTTGGTGTGCGCCGGATTCCAAATTTCTCCCTTCCTAACACGGCTGACTGGGGACTCACCACCATTTTCTGTGACACAGAGAGAGCAGCCTGCCAGAAGGGCACATGCCTGCTTCGACAGGGTCGTGCCTCCTGGTTGTGAGGCCCGAGCAGAAGATGTCAACAGCTGGTGTGCTCGGGAGATAAATGGTCTTGCCAACTTGTATTTTATTTCTACCTGAGTTGAACAAGTCACATCTTGCTCCTGGAAGGAACATAAAGAGGAAGGTCTTGCCTGGCAGACCCTCCCACCTCGAGCTTGGAAGATGCTC